AAAGAAAGAAAGACTATGCTGCCAACATAAAAATGTCCAATTAGAACAGGAAACTATTGAGGTTTAACTGTAATTTTCCCAGAAACAGTATATCATCAACAAGTAAGTTGCCCAGTGGTAAAGCTAATTAACTTTAGCAAAGAACTAGTTCAGAGACAGTAATCACTTGCTACTTCTACTGAACAAGCTTATATACAGAGCTTACCCCCTTGCTTTAGTAGGCCATTAAAACAGCAACGGCTATATTCCATTCCTAAACACTAAAATATCACCCAGGAGGGAGGCACCAGTGACCTATGACTTTCAGTAGCATAAAGGCAAAGCTACAGTAGAATCTATTTATATAGGTTTCTCAAAGTCCCATTCCATACTCTTTTTTACCCTCCTAATCAGCAGCCTATCTTGTAAGGTAGCTGATGGGAGCATAGTAGGCCATAACCCTCACCACCCTTTCACTTTCAACAGTCTAATGAGAAAGCCATTTAGTCAAACTGAGAGTAACAGAAAAGTACAAATGCTTTGTCAACAATATCTGTGTTAGAGGCTTGGGTGGGGGCCTGTGATAGCTTCCACCAATCTGCTTGGATAACCAGGAGGCCTCTTCCTTATCTCTGAGGTTTATTTCCTACTTCATGTACAAACCAAGGGAATTAGGTTCTAAAAGGTGGAGGACCATTTAGGAATATGTATTCAAGGGACTTAAAAATGCTCACACCCTTGAACCAATTAGTTCTACTTCTAGGAAGGGATCCCAGGGAAACAAGAGATGGAACAAAGGGACTGCTTTTGCAATAGTAAAAAAAGAAAAGAAACAAAAAACAAAACGAACAAAAACCTAATGTAAGAAGAGAAAAATAAATTATAGTCATTATATGGTGCACTATTACACCACATAAGAAAACGATGGGGTTTTTTTTTTCTTTTTTTCTTCTTGTCCTTACCCTCACCCCTTCCCTACTTCTCCGTATGCTCTCCTCATCCCGCATGCCCCACCATGTCCTTCATTGTCATTAATTGTCCTCATATCAAAGTTGAATACATAGGATTCATACTTCTCCATTCCTGTGATGCTTCACTAAGGATAATGCGGAGGGGGTGAGGGTAAGGACAAGAAAATAGTGACTAATTCTCACATAAATTGGATTCGATTTTGACTAAAGTACATTACTTAAACATTAATTTTTACTTCAACTTGTTAATATGTTGTTTAGGATACAGGATACTGCACCCTGATTTAAAAGTGAATTATGTTTGTAATTTCCTCTTTATATTTTTTTTTCAATTTTGATATCAGGTGTATCCAGATTAAGCAGAATGATTTTTTTTTTTTTTTTTTTGGCCAGGGCCAAAAAAACTCTGGTATATGGGTTTTTAACCCTTGAACCCGCCACCTCTGGTATATGGGGCTGGCACCCTACTCCTTTGAGCCACAGGCATCAACCAAGCAGAATGATTCTGAAGTATTTCTTCTCTTTCTGTTGTCTATAAGATTTGGCATAATCTGTTTTTGAAATCATCTTTTATTTTTATTTATAAATATTAGTTGTCTATTTTTTGAGACTTTGGGAAAAAATAAGAAGAAAAAGTTAATTAATGACTCTATACTGAACCTCAGAGTCAAAGCATTCTATAACAGACATACTCTTATTTGACAATGAGAATGTTACTTTCTTTGCATTGCTATTATTATTATTGCTTAATATTTCACTGCAGCAATTGTCTGATTTCTCTTATGAATGTCTTTATCTTCACTCACTCTTTACAAGGTTTTTGTTTCTAGTTCTTATCTTAAACATTGTTATTGTTGTTAAATTTTAAGGCTTTTTGATTTTGTGAAGGCAAAAAGTGGAAACCTAGTAAACACATGCATATGTAAAATTAAAAAAATAAATAAAAAGAAAATGACGTTTTCAAAGAATGCTCAATAACGTGGAAAAATACTCCATTTTGTTTTATATTGCACCTGGACTTTATGGCCACCCTGTAAATTCAGATTGAAGTAATTAATTCATTGTAAAAAGTCAATACTGGCCATTTCCAAATGATAAAGTTAAAGGTACTGTTTATTTTCTCCGCTATAAATATTCAATATTATCTAAACTTTCTATCAAGAAATGTACAGGCTCGGCGCCTGTGGCTCAAGTGGCTAAGGCACCAGCCACATAAACCTAAGGTGGCGGGTTTGAATCCAGCCCGGCGCCAAACAACAATGACGGCTGCAACCAAAAAAAAATAGCCAGGCGTTGTGGCAGGCGCCTGTGGTCTCAGCTACTTGGGAGGCAAAGGCAGGAGACTCGATTGAGCCCAGGAGTTGGAGGTTGCTGTGAGCTGTGATGCCACAGCACTCTACCCAGGGGAATAGCTTGAGGCTCTGTCTCAAAAAAAAAAAAAAAAAAAGAAAAAAAAAAGAAATGTATACACTGTTAAAATTAGGTGAAAAGGCTCAGCGCCTGTAGCTCAGTGGCTAGGGCGCCAGCCACATACACTGAAGTTGGCGAGTTCGAATCCAGTCCAGGCCTGCCAAACAATGACAACTATAACCAAAAAATAGCCAAGCACTGTGGTAGGTGACTGTAGTCCCAGCTACTTGAGAGGCTGAGGCAAGAGAATCGCTTGAGCCCAAGAGTTGGAGGTTGTTGTGAGCTGTGACACCATGGCACTCTACCAGGGTGACATAGTAAGACTCTGACTCAAAAAAGAAAAAATTAGGTGAACAAAATCAGTGTTAAATTAGGCAATTGGCCAAATAAACCAGATTCCAGGTAACTCTAACTTTGATCTTGGAACACATTCTTCTAGCATCCACACTGTCTACAATAGAAGTACCAATATAAAACATACACTCTAACAAGAACTTTATGGAGCTATGTTTTTAGTTATTAAACAGAAAGGTTTAGTTTTACGCTACAGCATTATGTTCTTTAAGATTAGAACTCATAGCTTTCATCATTCAGTCCTTGGGACTGAATAAATGACCCTTATCAGCTACTGTTTTACTGCAAAAACTGCAGCTAAAGGAAGAGTCTTTATATTTAACTCAGGAAAGGAATGTTTTATGAACAAGTGCATAATTTCCTTTTCAGATTCCTACAAGTGTTTTGAAGGGTACACAAACCCTCCCTAGCCTCAAATGGTTACTAACTGGCTGGTGATCATACATTCAGAACCTCGGATTCCCCACCAGCAAAGTGAGGGGGTTCATCGCAAAGACTGACATTCCACAAAAAGGTTACTTTTACTTCATTTTTACAGGAATCCTTACACTAGTCAGCTCCACAAACAGGATGGGCGGGAAATCCCCGCAGCGAGATGCAGCCCAAAAAGGATAGGAATATTCAGAGATTAGGCTCAAGTCCTCAGCTCCCTAGGAGTCCACCCGGTCTTCTTGGGCTACCCCTGCAAAGACCCAAAGACCAAGGGTAGTGGGATGTGGCTGAGTCCCCCTAATCAGGAGGGGTCTCCCTGCCCTTTCCCCTCATCTCGAAAAGCCTCCAGCGGCAATGCTAAGTGATCTCCAGCTCCCTGGAAGCCCGGCCTCCCCGAAGGTCCAGCGGTTCACCTCCGCCCTCACCCGGGGCTCACCAGGGGTCCGGTGCCATCCTGCAGATTCCGCCCTCTGCTCGTACACTTCCTGCTTACAGCAGCTGACTACGGCGGCCCGCGCGGCTCACTTCCCGCAGTTCGGCCAGTGCGCGACCGGAGCCTGGAGTTTGCATAGTGAATGCCTTGAGGTCTAAGACCTATGACACACAAAGCGAACTGCTCCTCCGGGGACAGAAGATTCGAGCAATCTACTCCAACTAGGAGACGCGAACTGCTGGGCTCAATTAAAATAAAATTGTTGAAAGAATCTAAGCATTTTCGCAGGAGCCGGAACTGCAAGATCTCTAGCAGTACCTGATTCAAAAACAAAACAACTGGATTGTGGTCAAAGGGGCACACTTACTAAGTTCGTAAACTTACTAACGCTGACTTTAAATGAAGTTTATGATATATAAATTATACCAAATAAAACTTTTTGAAAAGCTTTAAGATTGTTTTATACTGCTTCAAACAGGGGCCCAAAGAAATATCAATTACTGTGTGTGTATATATATATATATATATTTTTTTTTTTTTTTTTTGAGACAGAGCCTCAAGCTGTCCCACTGGGTAGGGTACCATGGCTTCACTGCTCACAGCAACCTCCAACTCCTGGGCTCAAGCAATTCTCCTGCCACAGCCTCCCAAGTAGCTGGGACCACAGGCGCCCGCCACAACGCCCGGCTATTTTTTGGTTGCAGCCATTATTGTTGTTTGGCGGGTCTGGGCTGGATTCGAACCTGCCACCTTAGGTGTATGTGGCTGGCGCCTTAGCCGCTTGAGCCACAGGCGCCAAGCCAGTATATATTATTTTATAACAGCCTTCCCACCAATTCTTCTGTGCTTTATTACATATATTTAAAATATTATTCATTAAGTGCTTGGTTATATCGTTGCCAAAAAAGTCACTAACTCTTTAGAGGGACGGAGGAATTAGTTCTGCACATTTCATGCCATCCCCAGAGAAATAGCAAAAGGAAGCCCTCCCTTCTCTTGCAGGAGTACAAACCAACTCGAACTTCCAACGCGGGTTTGCAGCGCGGGTATGGACTGCCGCGCATGCGCAAAAGCGTTACCATAACGACCAGTAGACGCAGCACCCTCCCGGGCTGTGAGCCGAGTGAGTAGAGTCTAGAAGCCATGGAAGACCAACTTTCGCCCGAGGCCCAGGTGGCGGAGCTGGAACTTGACGCCGTGATCGGCTTCAATGGTGAGGCCTCCAGCATTTCTGGACTAGCTGGTTTAGAAACCCCGACGACGTTTAGTGCAAATAGGGACAGTGAGACACCGGGTGGCACCTGAAAGGCAGTGAGGGACAATGGTAACAGCCCTGGCTAGGACCAAGCGTGGGGCGACTAGTACAGAATCTCCAGCCCCAAGGCCTTGAAAAGTCACTTCCTTGCTCTGAACCTCAGGGAATGGGATGGCTTTTACCAGCTCAGACAAGCTCCAGCACCTAAAAGCGATCAAATGCTTCCTCCTTGGTCCGGGCAGATGAGTAAGGGTATTTATAACCCTTCTTCTCACTGGCTGAGGGCCCCACGCATCCCGCAAAACCCTTGTCCCTTCTGTAACCACTGGATGTTGTGCCAGCCCCTGGGACTAACTAATAAATCTTCTGAAATCCCAGCTGATATACTAATGAGAAGAGGTTAGAAAGGGAAGTTGTGTTTGAACGACAGCTTTAGAGGGTGCTCGGTCCTCTAACCAGAAAGGATTCTAAGTGGTGAGGATTTCAGACCAAGACAGAAGGAGAAGGGGACTCTAGGGGGAGCTGAAGGGGTAGATGTTTTGATCAGAGGAGGGCTGGGTCTCTGTTCAAATCTTTTTTGTGACTGCCTATTCTTTTAGAACATTAAAGGAGAAAAATGCTGGAGTTCTGTTTATTTCGTTTTGGTTTTTTTTTTTTCTTTTGGGGAGATGAGAAAAAGCAATCCCTTTTAAAAAATGTGTTGTGATGCCTGAAAGCCTTAAAATTATAGTAATGTAAGATGCAAAACAGTCACCATTTAAACTTCAAAGCACATTCTAGGACCCAGCTCCTGACTCTCCTTTTACTTTAACAGAATTTGATAGAATGTAGACACCTTACATCTGAAATACCAGCCATCTTAAGACCTGTTTAAAGATCACTGGTAAAGGAATTGAGTAGCCTGCACTGAATTGCAAAGGGTCACTGGTGAGCCAGTGTATACCTGCATACATTGAATTCTGCAACCGAATTCATGCTGTTTTGTAGAGAGTTAATAGCAAATATATGGTAAATTATATCCTGATGTCTTCTGTGGCAATTACCAATTCCTTGCCTTTTTAAATTGCCCAAACTGATTGTTTTTACCTTGTTGGCTTTGTGATCATTTATATTCTTTCATACAGTTAAATATACATTTGGTTAGAATCACTATGTGCCAAATAGTATGTAAAAGGCAAAAGATTTATATGATTTGCAGAGAAACCGGAATATACGCCGAATAGTATGTTATGGGCTGAAAATACAGGGGATCAATCCACAATCTTCTTTAAGAAGAGTTTAGAAAACTGAAAAAATACAGTGAAACCAAAAGAAAAATCAGCCATCATATTTTTAAAGATATCATTGTCAAACTTTTGGTGTGCTATGTTTGAATATACATGTAAAAAATACGTTTTTAAAAAATAAAAGTGGACTCAGGGCAGCGCCTGTGGCTCAAAGGAGTAGGGCGCCAGCCCCATATACCTAGGGTGGCGGGTTCAAGCCCCACCCTGGCCAAAAACTGCAAAAGAAAATAAAAAGAAAGAAACAAAGACAAGAGTCTCCCTCTAAACATAAAAGTGGACTTGTGTGGTATATATTCTCTTACAATCAGAATTTTATTTTCAGTTAACAGTCTGTCATATAAATCTTTCCTTAGCAATAAATATAAGAAATAATAAAACAACCCTATTTTTAAGAAAAGAAATAAAAATATATACTATATGACATAATTGTAATGTAATATTTAATATTCTACTGCACATTGTGCCATAATTTATTTAAATAATACCCTGCTTTTAAGAATTTAACATAATTTCCATGTATTTTAAAATGCTACAAAAAATATCTGCACAACTAAATCTTTTAGTCCTTTAACTTTCTTTCTTAGGATAAATGCTGAGTACATCCTAAAGATTTTTGATGTATCCTCCAAATGCTGTGTCATATAGGCATCAGAAATATATACAAAAACATGTTCAGAAATATTTCTAACAGCATTATTTCTAATAGCTAAAAATTAGAAACAACCAGCCAGGTGCAGTGGCTTACACCTGTAATCCTAGAATTATAGGAGACCAAAATGGGAAGATCTCTTGAGCTCAGAAGTTCAAAACCAACCTGAGCAAATGTGAGACCCCTGTCTCTACGAAAAATGGGAAAATTAGCCAGATGTTGCAGCAAACTCTTTTAGTCCCAGCTGCTAGGGAGGCTGAGGCAGGAGAATCACTTGACCCCAGGAGTTTGTGGTTGCTTCGTGTTAGGCGGATGCCACAGCACTCTAGCCTGGAGCAACAGAAAATGATCTGTCTCAAAAGAAAAATTATAAACAACCAAAACATCCATAGAAAATATAAAGGACAAATCAATTGTAATATACAGTACTCATACGCTAGACTACTATGCAGCAATTAAAAAGAAGAAACTATGACTATACAACAACATGCATGGATCTCACAAACATAATATTGAATGAAAACAACCAGACACAAAAGAGTTAAATGATATCATTCCATTCATGTGAAGTTCTAAAATGGGGGAAATTAACCTACAGGAGTAGAAGTCAGAACAGTGACTACCTTTTGGGGAGAAACAGACTGGAAGAAAGTACATGGGAGACATCTGGAATGCAAAATACTTCTTGGTAAAAAAATGTTATTGAGTTTTCTGTATTTTGTCTTCAATGAAAATTTTTTATTTGAAAAGGCTGTACTAGCTCTCAGAAAAGATAATAGACAAAGCTTTATGAAAGTCTGGGAGAAGAGATTCCATTCTAGGATTAAAAGAGTTGATCTTTAAATTCAAGTAGTCTTGAAAATTGGGTAGGAAGCAATTGGTAAAGATTGAAGGCAGAATATTCCAGGTAGCAGGCATGAGGAGTCAAAGAAGAAAAAGTTCAGAGTGGGGGGCCTCTTTGGTGAATGGCAAATAGCTGGACATGGCTATTTTGTTCAGGGACTGGCAGAATAACACAGGAAAGAAAGCCTGGGATTATATTTCAGAGGTCTTAAATACCAGGTAATTGACTTCAGACTTCACATGGAAACAAATTAGAATCAAAATGAAGGCCTCTTTTATCATAATACTAGAATTCACTATAGTGTTACATTATTAAACTTGAATTTTAACTTGAAGGTGTCAATATGTATTAATAACTGTACTTCATACTTCTAGGTATTGTATTTTGGCATGAATTTATTATTTAAGCAAACTAAATACAGTAGTGTTGAATGTGAAAACATTTCATAGAACTGTAGTTATTGAGTTTGGTCACACACATCAATTGACCAGAGTAGATAGCCCATAAGTTCTATCCAAACAGCTCTTATATAATAAAAACAGCAACAACAACAACAACAACAAAATAGATCTGGTGTCTGCAAACTATATCCAAGTGAGCCAAACTTGGCCCACTATGCGTTTTTATAAATAAAGTTTTATTGGAACCCAACCCTACCCATTCATTCATATATTGACTACGGCTGTTTTTACACTATGCTCGCAGAGATGAGTAGCTTCAAAAGGGAACATGGCTGACAGAGCCTAAAATATTTACTCTATGGCCCTTTATAAAAAATAGCCAGACCCTGGAAATAAATAATGGGCAAAGAAATATAAATGAAAAATAGAAATTGCTATTAGTTCAAAAAGTTTAAAAATGCTATTAAACCAATCTTTTCTTTTTTTTAACATCTCAAACTGGCAAAAGCTAAAAATGTAGATAATAGTATGGTGAGAGTAAGGAATGGTTCTCAATTTCCATTGCCAGTATAAATTTTACGACCTTTTAAACAACAGATTTGCAGTATTTATTACAATTTTTAATCAGGATACTCTTTGTGCTTTTAAGAATTTTAATCACTTGTTCAATTTTTCAGAAAAAAATTGTAT